CCATGTCCCAGTTTTGTGGAATTGGTGCCACTCTCTTTGGGCCCGTTGGATGACTGCGTCATGCTTCGGGGCATGTCCCTCCTTGCAGGACTCCGTTGTCAGGACGATGCCTCAGGTCCCCTCCTGTCTGTCCTGAAAACCAGATTGGGGAACCCTCTTGTGTCTCCCCCCACACACACACACACAAAATCCGGAATTGCTCCCTTGTGTGACTTCGCTTGTGTGAAACGAAGGACTCTGCACGAACGAAATGCAGAATATAACATGAACCCCCTCTGTTGCACGCTTTCGTGGCAGTTCCACACCATAGTTGGTGCCCAAAAACGGAGGTGGGGGGGGGGAAAGGGGAATCCCTGAGACTTGCATGTAAACCTAGTTATAGATGTCTCCTTTTGTAAGTTTTATTTTTGTAACTCTGCATGTTAAAAAGCATCACTGAACCAATGGATCTGTTGAAGAACTCAACTGCTGGAAATCATGCAAAATGTTTTGAATTGCCCTTAAAATATGGAAAATGTTTTCTGAATGCTTTATATTCTTTCTGCTGTAAATTAAAAAAGAAAAAGAAAAGAAAAAGAAAATTTCCCCCTTTGAAGCATGTGGGCTTTTTGTGGGTTGTGTTGTGGGCGCATCGCTCTCTGCATTGCCAGAGTCTCCGAATCTTGAATAACTTAAATCGTTCTTAATTTGGGGGATGATCTGGATGTTCTCCTGAAACTTCAGGAAGAGTTTCAGTCTGCGAGACCTTTCTTTTATCAAGAGTCCTAGAGATTCTAGAATGTACCTGTGACGTGTTTTACCTGGTAGTAATTTAAGAGGGGTTGGGTTTCACAAAATTATTTTCTAACTGACACTTGAGCTACTGTCCACCCGTTTTGCTTTGGGTCTGCCTTCTGTGTCTTTCAGTCACTGGATCAGTGCATAAATTAAGTTACTCCTTAAATCAAGTTCCTAGCTTAGTAGATCAGGGGAATGCTGCAGACATAGTTTAACCTGAGCTTGATAAAACCTTAGTCTCTTGTGATATTCTCCATAGCACTGATGACATGACCTAATTTGGGTAATGAAATGTCTGTAAGAAAACAACCAAGCTCAGAGAGCACCAAGGAACCCACAGAGGAGGAGGAGGAGGAGGAGGAGGAGGAGGAGGTCTCCACAAACCCTACTCCCTTCTAGCACCAAGGACTTCTCCTCTCTCACACAAATATTCTCCTTTATTGGCATTCTCCTTAAAATACGGAGTAGACGATACTGCTGTTAAATGAACTCACAGTTGACCAAATGGCCACAGCCAAAGAACACTAATTAATGCCTCCCCTTCGTTTGGAAGGAAGCGTTATGTATAACACAAAAGATTTGTGCTGGGCTGATTCACTTTTTGGATTAAGGACTTGGAGAAGGGAGTGGAAGGGAGACCTGCAAAGTCTGCAGGTGAGCCACAAAGCTGGAAGGGCTGATTGAGAAGAAAGAGAGATGTTAGACGAGACAAGCTATCGTAATCCTTTCCAGCAAAGGGATGAAATGCATAGGAAGAAACATCAGTCATGAATCTGGGTAGGATAAGTTTGGGGAAAGCTGCAAATTTGGCAGAGGCAACTGAAGGGAAGACAGGATTATCTTTCATCTATCAAAAAGGTGGTTACGCAAAAGGGCAGATTAGTTTCTATTGTCCTGGTGCAGAGAAGAGCAACTAAGATCATGAAAGGCCTGGAGACTAAAACATACGAAGAACGGTTGCAGGAATTGGGGATGGCTAGTCTAGAGAAAAGAAGGACTGGGAGGGGAGGGGACGACATGATAGCAGTCTTCCAGTATTTGAGGGGCTGCCCCAAAGAAAAGGGGGTCCATCTATTCTCCAAAGCACCCCTGAAGGCAAAAGACTTGTGGACTTCCAACTCCCAGAATTCCTCAGCCAGAGGAGAAGCGAGACGTTTTCACGGGAAAAACAAACCAACAAACCAAGAACGTCCCGGTTGCCTTTTGAAAAACCATCTTTGTCCCTTGCTACAGGTTGTAAGAAGCAATTGGCCTCATGCTTCTCCAGTTTTTAAGTTCTTCTAAGATGCCAAACCCATCTCTCGTGTCTTTCCTGTCAGCTCAGCTGAGTGACAGCCAGAGGTGTCAAAGAAGCCAGGACTTTGGCTTTGGAAGGGGGAGTGTGATTTTTCTACGTTGACCCTTTTTCTTGTTGTCTGGATGGAGGAATTGCCTCGGCTGATCACAGGCAGGGAGGGAAGTGGAGAAAGGTCCCTAAGCAGACTGGTGAATGAATCATTCCCCCCCCCAAAAAAAGAAACAGATAAACGCACTGTGGCCCAGGTCTGGAGATGGCTCCAAGGCACGCACAGGCTGCGAAAGAAAAGGAATGTGTGAAAACAACACCCATTTGTTTTTTTATCTTAAACTTCTGCCGATCGGAGAGTTAGGCTTCCCTTGCTAAGGTGTAACTCTGCATCATGCAAGTTGCATCAGTCCCTGAGTCTGTTTTCACAAGGAGTAGCTGAGTCACAGGGAACACTGCGCCAATGGAAGCAGCGCTCTCGCTGAAACCCAGATTGGCAGCTTCCCTAAGGATTCCCAATTCCAATTAGACATCGAGTATCAGATTCAAAGAGATTACCAAAGCCTCAGTAAGGCCACGCCTGGAATGCTGCGTCCAGTTTTGGTCCCCACATTAGGCTGAGACTTTGGGAACAGTGCAGACATGAGCAACTAAGATGGTTTTAAAGGCCTGGAGACTAAAACATACGAAGAACGGCTGCAGGATTTGGGTATGGAAAAAAGGACTAGGGGGGAACAGGATAGCAGCCTTCCAGCATTTGAGGGGCTGCCCCAAAGAAGAGGGGGGGGGGGTCAAGTTATTCTCCAAAGCACCAGAAGGCAGGATAAGAAGCAATGGATGGAAGCTAATCGAGGAGAGAAGCAATCTGGGATTAAAGAGAAACTTCCTGACAGTGAGGACAATTAACCGGTGGAACAGAAGTTGTGGGTGCTCACCGTTTGGGAATTTTCTCCTTAGTTCCAGGTTGCTTCTCTCCTTGATTAATTGCCATCCATTATTTCTCGTCTCGCCTTCCGGTGCTTTGGAGAATAGCTTGACTCCTTCTTGAAACTGGAAAAGGTGACTTATGACCGCTTTTCACCCTTACGGCCTTCGTAGCATCTCCGCGATCAGCATTCAGAAGCTTGGCAACTGGTTGATCCTTACGGCCGGCGCTGCGTCGTTTTTTGCAACCTTCTCACAAAGTCAATGGGGAAGCCAGATTCACTTAACAACCGGGTGACTCCCTTAACAACTCTAGCCAGGAAGGTCCTAAAATGCAGCAAAAGCTCCCTTAATATGTGTCTCGTTGAACAGCAGAAATGTTGGGCTCCCTTGTGGTTGTTACGTGTGAAGGGGACCGCCTGCATTCTTCTGCCTTTCCTAGCTGTGATCACATCAGCTGTTTTGTATTCGGGGTTCCCTCCCTGGACCTTTCCCTCCTTTTTCCATTTTTCCTCCCACGTACAATGGGAATTGCAGCGCTAGCCGAATACTGGCAAATGGGATTAGCCAACTTTTTTCCGCGGTCAGACTTGCTTCCCTGGAATTTCCAATACCTGCTTAGATAATCTTCAGGGTGAGTTCAGAACAAGTGTACTCCTGGCTGAGGTCAAAGTTTCTGTGTTCTTGCTTTCTGTTCTTGCTTTCTGTTTCTGACTTCGAAGATGAAAGGAGAAGTTTGGGTCTGTTCCGGGCTGTTTCAGTACTTCCTGATCTCCTGAGACATTTCGATTGATTGATTTATTTATTTTTAAACAACAACAACAACACTAAGGCTGATGAAAGATCTGCTGGACTCTTGAAACACTGGTCTAACAACGCTACCCTGAACTTTTTGCAGAGTTATTATTACAGCAGCTTCTTTTCTCTGTGAATAAGGATTCGACAGAGCAGGCTTTCGGGCGTTCTTTTTTTGCTGGTTTTTTGGCTTGAACTGCTCTACAATTCCTGCAGAAGTTCCTCCAGGTTAGTTTGCATCTTCGGATAGTCGTAAAAATAGGCTAGGTTTGGGGGGTTATCCTAAACCAGCAGGTGGATGTGTGACTAGGGAGGAGCTGCTAAAATTGAACCTGTTTGTGTACGACTTTGTCTACTATTTTCACTATGCCTGTTGGGGACCTGGGGCTGCAGCCTTGCGCCACAATAAGACCGGTGTAGATGGACAGCTCAAAGCCAAACATATTCATTACAAAGGAAAGAGATATTCATACTATCAATCAATCAGAATAGAGCTGGAAGGGACCTCGGAGGTCTTCTAGTCCAGCCCCCTGCTCAAGCAGGAGGCCCTGGACTATTTCAATCAATCAATCAGAATAGAGCTGGAAGGGACCTCGGAGGTCTTCTAGTCCAGCCCCCTGCTCAAGCAGGAGGCCCTGGACTATTTCAATCAATCAATCAGAATAGAGCTGGAAGGGATCTCGGAGGTCTTCTAGTCCAGCCCCCTGCTCAAGCAGGAGGCCGACCTGGTAAAGTTAGTTAGTTAGTCTTATCTCGACCTTCCCTGGAGCCTCCAGAAGATCAGGTCGGGGGACGAGTTCGTCCTCCGGGACCTGGTAAAGTTAGTTAGTTAGTCTTATCTCGACCTTCCCTGGAGCCTCCAGAAGATCAGGTCGGGGCTGCTCAAGCAGGAGGCCCTGGACCATTTCAATCAATCAATCAATCAATTAATCAGAATAGAGCTGGAAGGGACCTCGGAGGTCTTCTAGTCCAGCCCCCTGTTTGAGCAGGAGAACTTTTACCCATCTCAGACAAATGACTGTCTAGCTTGTTCCTAGGGAGCACGAAGTGAGCTTTTGGGGGATTCTTTACGATGCCGTGTTTGCCACTTCCATCTCTTTCGAAAACCCGCTTAGGTCTCCGCGATACGTATTCGTAGGAAGCTTCAGAATAAGGGAACCACGAGAGGTCCAAGAAGCAGGAGGAGCAGACGCAACGACCCGCAACTGTGTGAAGAAACATGAGGTGTAATCAGAGTTGTGGCTTGCTGACCGTGGCAGCCATCGGAGCGTTGCTGGCTGTCCTTGGGGGGATTCTGATTCCGGTTGGGAATCATTTCGTTGAGAAGACAATAAAAAAGGTAAGAGACGCCTGCAATTCTTGCATTTTGCCTTGCTTTCTTCTCAACATTTGCGTGACATAAGCCAACATTTCCAGCCGCACCAGGGAATTTCCCCTGTACAGATGCCTAAATTGGGCAAAGATACAGATATAAATCCTCTTTATGGGAGACATTTCTTTTTTTTTCACGAATGAAGGCGAATATACATGTCCCAGGATAATTTCTTTTTTCTTTAAAAAAATAAATAAATCCATTAGGTTCTCCTCGAAACACGGGCATGAAAAGGAGAAAGATTTGTGCAGAAGCTCTGTAGTTTTTGAGTTCATGCTGGATCACAAGCTGTATTTCGACATTTTTGGAGGGAGAGTTGAAACGCTGCCTATGAGAATTATGCCTCCTGCAGCATTTAAATATTACACCATAGGAAACACCTTAGTAAAATGAAGTTCTTCCTGTATCTACGGGACACCCACATCTCCCTGCTTCCAAAATGTCGAGGTTCTGGTATCTGAATTACAAAATCTGACTCCTCTTCAGTTATAATATGATGCTTCAGCTTAGACCCTGGAGAGAGGTGTGGTTTATGGAGCTGATTGGTTAAAACTTGCAATCAAAATTAATAGACTAAAAGAATTTCATAAAGTTGAGGCAAGAAAACGTGCCTGGGATGCGGGCGGCAGTCCAAAAAGCCAACACAATCCGTGGTTGTGTAAACAGAAGCGTAGAATCAAAATCACGTGAAGTATTAGTACTGCTTTATAAAGCCTTAGTAAGGCCACACCTTTAATCTTTAGTGTTCAAACTATCCATTTCTGCACAATCCAGTATTTTCTTGATTGTCTCTTCTTCAGACGGTGTTTCTTCGTTTTTCCAGTAATGAGCAGATATAATTCTTGCTGCTGTTCATACATGCGTACATCGTTTTGTTTCTGATGGGAAAGCATTCTGATCATTTTGTTAAAAAGGATAATTCTGATGAAAGGTGAGGATAGCACGATAGTTCCTGAGTATTCAAGTCGGGAACAAGCAGATATATATATAGAAAGAGCAATAAAGACGATTAGGCGACTGGAGGCTAAAACATACAATATGGGCTGGATTGTAATGTGAGGATTATCTGTATGCTCTGAAGAAAAACACAACCAGAAGGGCATAGAAATTTGTTTCCTTAGATACCTGTTTAAGTTTTTCAAAAATGTTGTGTGTTCTATCCTTCCCGCACCTCACTCTTGCTAATAAAAATAGCATCTAGTTCAAATGTCACTCGTCCATAAACACTTGAGGAGGTTTTCCAAGAAACGTTATCCAGAATAGAAAACGTGTCTATTCTGACTTAGGAAGAAAAAAAAAAACCATATTAAAATGTCGTTCTTATTCCCCTTTAACAGGAAGCTGTCATTGAAAATGGCACAATCGCCTACGAGAACTGGATTGTTCCTGGGTGTCCCATTTACCGACAGTTTTGGGTTTTCGATGTACAGAACCCAGAGGAGGTGATGGAGAAGGGTTCTGCTCCAATACTTGAGCAGAAAGGCCCGTACACTTACAGGTAGGTGAAGACCTAACGATCAGGATGTCTTGAGGACCCGGAAGAGGGATTAGAGAGCAAACAGAGAGACTGTATTGAGTTGGGAGAGGAATGGAATAGAATAGAATAGAATAGAATAGAATAGAATAGAATAGAATAGAATAGAATAGGAATAAATAATGGAATAGAATAGAATAGAATAGAATAGAATAGAATAGAATAGAATAGAATAGAATAGAATAGAATAGAATAGGAATAAATAATGGAATAGAATAGAATAGAATAGAATAGAATAGAATAGAATAGAATAGAATAGAATAGAAATAAATGAATAGAATAGAATAGAATAGAATAGAATAGAATAGAATACAATAGAAATAAGTGAATAGAATAGAATAGAATAGAATAGAATAGGAATAAATAATGGAATAGAATAGAATAGAATAGAATAGAATAGAATAGAATAGGAATAAATAATGGAATAGAATAGAATAGAATAGAATAGAATAGAAATAAATGAATAGAATAGAATAGAATAGAATAGAATAGAATAGAATAGAATAGAAATAAGTGAATAGAATAGAATAGAATAGAATAGAATAGAATAGAATAGAATAGAATAGAAATAAATAATGGAATAGAATAGAATAGAATAGAATAGAAATAAATAATGGAATAGAATAGAATAGAATAGAATAGAATAGAATAGAATAGAATAGAATAGAATAGAATAGAATAGAATAGGAATAAATAATGGAATAGAATAGAATAGAATAGAATAGGAATAAATAATGGAATAGAATAGAATAGAATAGAATAGAAATAAATGAATAGAATAGAATAGAATAGAATAGAATAGAAATAAGTGAATAGAATAGAATAGAATAGAATAGAATAGAATAGAATAGAATAGGAATAAATAATGGAATAGAATAGAATAGAATAGAATAGAATAGAATAGAATAGAATAGAAATAAATGAACAGAATAGAATGTTCTGCTGGTTAAATTGTTCTGCGTTTAACAAGTGGACTCTCTTTTTTCTTCAAGGATGCGATACCTGCCCAAAGAAAACATCACTGAACATGAAGATGCCACTCTGTCTTACCTCCAGCCAAATATTATGCTTTTTCAACCCAATATGTCAGTTGGGCCGGAAAGTGACACCGTCACCACCGTCAACCTTGCAGTTGTGGTAAGCAAGCTCCCTTAAGGTTTCTCACATCTGAATATTAAATTCTAAGAATAAATCAATAAAATTTGGGTACAGAATAAAAGAGTGGGAAGGAACCTTGGAGGTCTTCTAGTCCCACCCCCTGCTCAGGCAGGAGACCCTATATCATTTCAGACAAGTGTCTGTCCAGTCTCTTCTTAAAAGCCCCCAGTGATGGAGCACCCACAACTTCTGGTGGCAAGCAGTTCCACTGGTTAATTGTCCTCACTGTTAGGAAATTTCTCCTTAATTCCAGGTTGCTTCTCTCCTTGATTAGTTTCCATCCATTGTTTCCTGTCCTGCTTTCTGGTGCTTTGGAAAATAGGTTGACCCCCCCCTCTTCTTTGGGGCAGCCCCCCAAATACTGGAAGACTCCTATCATGTCCCCCCTCGTCCTTCTTTTCTCTAGATTGGCCATTCCCAATTCCTGCAGCCGTTCTTCATATGTTTAATCCCCAGGCCTTTAATCATCTTAGTTGCTCTTCTCTGCACTTTTTCCAAAGTCTCAGCATCTTTTTTTTGTAATGTGGGGACCAAAACTGGATGCAGGATTCCAAGTGGTGTGGCCTTACTAAGGCTTTATAAAGCGGTACTAATACTTCATGTGATTTTGATTCTATGCCTCTGTTTACACAACCAAGGATTGTGTTAGATGTTTTGGCTGCTGCCGCACACGCCTGGCTCGTGTTTTAAGGGATCGTCCACTGGGACTCCAAGGTCCCTGTCACGGTGACTTGTTTTTGAGCCTCGTTTCGCCTAGTTTTACAGCACGTGCCAAGGTTCCAAACGTTAAGATATTTTGTGATTTGATCACAAATAAAACTTAATTCAAAACTGTTTGTGTTGATTTGCACTCCGGTGTCTAAAAGTTATAGGCAAATTGGTATGTGTTGCAGGCTGCACCGGCTTTGTTTAAAAGTGTTCTTATTCAAGCCTTGATGAATATCTGGATAAAATCGTCAAAGTCAAAATTCCTCCAGACTAGAACGGTGAAAGAAATACTTTGGGGTTACGAAGATCCTTTCTTGAAAAAAATTCCAATCGTAAAATTGGATAAACGCGTTGGAGTATTGTATCCTGTAAGTATGAACTCAGAGAGGGGGGGGGGAATGAATTGCTTGCGATTCAGAAAACGAAGAACGTTAAACATAACTGAGGCTTGGTACAGCAGATTTTAAAACACTAAAAAAAAATTCATTCTTAATGATCAAGCCAAGTTGGATCAAAAATTAATTTTCTGTTCTCTCTCCTTCAAGTATAATAAAACAACTGATGGCCCTTACCGAATTTATACTGGGAAAGACGATATAAACAAGAAAGGAACTATCCTGACTTTTAATAATAGCAGGTATCATATCTTGGGGGAAATATAGCTTTATTCATTCGTTCGTTCGTTCGTTCGTTCATTTATTTATTTACAAAATCTACAGTTTAATTAAGCAGTTTATTAATTAATAAACATGATGGGTTTCCCTGGGCAGTTGCAGAATATGCTAAGCACACAGAGATGCACCGGTTGTCATATTATATAGTCCTCGACTTACGACATTCGAGCCCGGAATTTATGTTGCTAAGGGAGAAATTTGTTAAGTGATTTTTTTTTGCCCCATTTTACGACCTTTCCGGCACGTTCGTTAAATGGGTCCCTGCAGGTGTTAAATGAGTCGCACGGTTGCTTAAGAGAATCCGGCTTCCCTCATTGAGTTTGCCAGTCAGAAGGTCGCGAAAGGGAATCGCGTGACCCCGGGAGACGCTGCGACCGTCGTAAATACGAGTTGGTTGCCGAGAGTCCGGATTTTGGCCACGTGACCGCGGGGATGCTGCGACGGTCGTTAAGTGTGAAAAATGGCCATAACTCAGTTTTTTCATTGCCTTTTTAACCTCTGAACGAACTCAATAAGTCGAGGACTATCTGTATAAGAGACCTTGGGATTAGAATATCTACTCTCCCCCTGAATCGGTTTAATTCTCACACTTTCCTTGGATTCAGAGGGCTAAGAAAACCGCGTGGCATCACATCTCAGCTGTATCTTATTTTTCTTTCTTTTTTTCTCCAAAGGACCCTTCAATACTTTAAGAGCTATTGTAGCATGATCAATGGCACTGGTAAGGATGTCAGTGGAACTAAGTATGAAATGTCTATTTATGCCCAGAACACACACATTACATTCTGGCAACCATTAAAAAACACACCAGGTTGGGAACTGACGCACAGGTTGGAAAACACCTAAGGATCCCACTTCCAACAAATTAAAAAAAAAATTAAAAATAAAACCGTGCCACGGCTTCTTTGCCCCATCAAAATTAAGGCTAGGAGAAAGTTTGAAGTTTATGAAAACAGAAAAATGGATGGATTTCAGGGGCAAAGTTCTCAAGGCTGAACAAGAAAAGAGTGGTCCATTTGTTAGGGTGGGGGAAAATTGGCTGCAATTACTATACTAAAACAAGTTGCAAGAATAGAATAGAGTAGAGTAGAGTAGAGTAGAGTAGAGTAGAGTAGAGTAGAGTAGAGTAGAGTATAGGGTAGAGTAGAGTAGAGTAGAGTAGAGTAGATAATGAAGAATAGACTAGAATAGAGTAGAGTAGAATAATGAAGATTAGAATAGAATAAAGTAGAATAATGAAGAATAGAATAAAATAGAATAGAATAGAATAGAGTAGAGTAAAATAATGAAGAATAGAGTAGAATAGAATAGAATAGAATAGAATAGAATAGAATAGAATGCTATTGTCACTTTGAATGTGCACTAATTGGCATACATCAAAATGAAATTTCATTGCATTCAGCTCTCCGATATACACTACATAAATATGACCAAAATAAATAGAGTTGCGAGGCTCCCAACTCACAAGATGCTCTGATTGTTAACTCACAGATGCGTCCTCGTTCCACCCTTTTGTCAACAAGAGCGAAGAGCTGTACTTCTTGTCCTCGGATGTTTGCAGGTAAAAGGGATTACTTAAAAATACTCTGGTCAGGGGGATTTTTGTGGAACCCAAAAAACACAAAAAAACCCACAACCCCTCCCCCCCCCAAAAAAAACTGCTATTCTCTGAACACGTCTTATTTTTATGATGCAGGTCAGTCTCCGCCAGATTCGACAGGGAGGAGACGGTGAAAGGGATCCTGCTTTACCGCTTCAGCATCCCTCCGTCGGCTTTTGCCTCAACCCTTACCAACCCGGACAATATCTGCTTTTGCACAGAGAAGGAGATTAGTTTGAACTGTACAACAAGTGGAGTTCTGGATATCAGCTCCTGCAAACAAGGTAAGTGGGGACGAAAAAAAGGGGGCTGAGGAGGTCTCGTTTAGACCCAGAGCGGAATAGGTGGGATTCTTATGTGGCTAGAAAGAGTGAATCACTGCAGTTGGTCATTTAGTAACCTGGTTCTTGAATGAACTTTAGAATAGAACAGAACAGAACAGAACAAATAGGGGTAGAGTAAGAATAGGATAGGAGTAAGAACAGAACAGAACAGAATAGGATGGGGGTCCAGCCAGAGTTTGAAAGCTCGGAAAATTAAACCACCCGTCCAGATTGGATCCCGCAACATTATCCTGGGACGTTTTATTATAATCGCCTTCGTTCGCGACATCCGCAGTTTTCCATTCGGCTTCACTAAGAGAAGGGGATTTTTGCAATCCGCTTTGCAAACTCTATTTCCCCTTTCCCTTCCACAGGCAAACCCGTCTACCTCTCCTTGCCCCACTTCCTGCACGGAAGTAAGATACTTTTTCAATTTGTGAAAGGGATGAAGCCCAGCGTGGAAGAACACACCACCTTTCTGGATGTGGAACCGGTAGGGGACCAGAATCTGACTCCGCTTTAAGACCGAAATCAAAGCCAGACCCATGGCCATCTCGGTCGTAAAAGGGGACCCTGGGAGTTAATTTTGGGGTTTGTGCACCGAGGGGCCCCAAAGTTTTCTCCTAGTTCCATCAGTCCGCCGGTGGGGTGAAGATTCTCATCAGCCTGTATGGGTGGTCCCCCGATTTTCGTTGCTAAGCGAGACATTCCTTAAGCGAAGCCTGCCCCCGTTGTACGACCTTTCCGTTTAAATTAATTGCAAATTAATTTTTTGCTGTTGAGTATCCACCAATGCTGGTTTAACCTTTCCTAACCCAGCATCCAAATGCGTTATTTCTCTCTTGAATGCTGCTGATCCTTGATTATTATACCCCCCCCCCCATTTGCAAAGTTCACGGCGTTTGTTTGGTTTTAGGTCACAGGATTTACCTTGGGCTTTTCCAAAAGGTTGCAGGTTAATCTACTGGTGACACCAAATTCAAATATCGCGTAAGTCGGGGCTGTTATTATTTTTCTCCCCCCTCCCCCCATTGGGGAAACGTTGGCCGGTGGATGGTTTGTTCTACAGGGATGCTTATCGGGAGAAGTGGCTTATGGGCAACCGCATCATGGGGAGGGGGTGAAAATCTGCAAGACGGCAGGCCAGTCTGGAGAATAGGAGGATTATGGGTGACCTGAAGCAGTATTCCAGTATTTGAGGGGCTGCCACAAAGAAGAGGGGGATCAACTTATTTTCCAAAGCATCTGAAGGCAGGACAAGAAGCAACAGATGGAAACTAATCAAGGGGAGAAGCAACCTGGAACTAAGGAGGCATTTCCTGACAGTCAGAACAATTAATCAGTGGAACAGCTTGCCACCAGAAGTTGTGGCTGCTCCATCACTGGAGGTTTTTAAGAAGAGACTAGACAGCAACCTGTCTGGAATAGTCTAGGGTCTCCTGCTTGAGGAGGGGGCTGGACTAGAAGACCTCCAAGGTTCCTTCCAGCTCTATTCTGGTTGATTGATTCCCATCCACATTACAGACAAGGCTTCATCTATGTATGTATGTATGTATGTATGTATGTATGTATGTATGTATGTATGTGTATGTGTGTGTTAGCCATTTTTTGCATTCTCAAAAGACAGCGACCCAAAATTGAGCTGTTTTAATGTCGCTGCTTTCTCCCCCCCACCCTTATTTTTGTTTTCTACAGAGCACTAAAAAACATCAAGCATTTCTTTTACTTTCCTATTCTGTGGCTGAACGAGGTGAGTAGGTTTGCATTTTTTCTGTCATTGTGATCTTTCCTTTTCAGTTTGGTTCTTTGGACCCATCTGGGAATCCCTGTCTTTTCTCAGTCTCCACGGCTTCCCATCCCTGCTAGGTGGAAAGAAGCAAGAACACTCTGGGCCAGGGGTCTTCAGACTGGGCCCTTTGATGACTTGTGGACTTCAGCTCCCAGAATTCCTCAGCCAGGGTGCACGCTGGCTGAGGAATTCTGGGAGTTGAAGTCCACAAGTCATCAAAGGGCCGAGTTTGAAGACCCCTGCTCTGGATGGTTTCCATCTGGAGGGTGCAAAGTCATCTCTAGCCACCAGCAGACGCTGCTTTGATTTTTTTTCCTTGCCTTTATGCCACATTATTCACTTTTCTTTTTCTTCTTCTTCTTTTTTCCCCAGACGGCTACGATCGATGATGAGAAAGCAGAATTTTTCCGATCAAAAGTGACCAACAAGATCAAGTTGCTCTACTTCCTTCAACTGGCCCTAATTATCATTGGTTCTGTAATGTTCCTGGGCGTTCTAATTGTCTTTTTCATGTGCAAAGACAAGAGACCTAAATTAGTAAGTAAGGTTTGGAATTAAGGTCTCTAATTAACTCATTAGTTCGGAAGGAGTTCCACCAGATTCTCGGTGGCGTGGGACATTAAAAATAGCGAGTAGCGAGAAAAGAGGAAGGGAACCATTCCAGCTAACAGGTAATATTCTACAAGAGCTTCAAACCCAGGCAGATTTCCAAACATACACAATTTTGGAAAGCTGCCATTGTGCAAGGCAAGTGCCCTGTCCTAAACTGCCATTTCTTAGCCATTTTGTTTTTAACAGTGTGTTTGTGAGTGTCCGCGCTCACCTCTTCGCTCCATGCATACATAACAGAGGCTAGAAAAGCTTCTTCAACTTAAACAACAGCCAGCCGTGTGCGGTGGCAGCCCAAAAAGCGAACACAATCCTCGGTTGTGTAAACAGAGGCACAGAATCAAAATCACGTGAAGTATTCGTAGCGCTTTATAAAGGCCACATCTGGAATGCTGCCTCCAGTTTTGGTCCCCACGTTACAAAAAAAAAAAAGATGTTGAGACTTTGGAAAAAGCACAAAGAAGAGCAACTAAGATAATTCAGGCTAAAATATCTGTTGAAAATTGAGAACTACCTGTAATAATACGGAGAGGGGATCTTGTAGACATTTAATTCTCAAATCAATCATCCAACAATTCTGGATTTATCTGACTCACATGTGGTTTTTTTTTCTTTTCTCAGCCTGTCTGGTGAAAGCAACCATTTCTTCCAGTTTCAAGCAGAGAGCAGGGCGTTGTCTTTCTGGCGTTGTTTTGGGTTGTGCTCTTAAATACCCTGGGGAAATATTGCAAGATGGACAGACCGGTGAAGGATAAGATTTTGTTTTTTCCCAACCAGAAGTCCACAACGCTGCCAACATCGGATGTTTTTGCATTGACAACAGATGGAAATGTAGCCAACTTTTCCCCTTTCACTTTTAGAGTTAGAGGATGCTGGGAGGAGGGGGGATGTGAACGAGAGTCTAGCTAGACACAACAACACTAAACCTAGTGTGAGAATCAAGGTTATGGAGCCCAGAGCTGATAAAGAATTGGAGAGCTGGAGAGCTGGAGAGGAAGCCCGCACTTCAAGCTAATTGGGGAATGTGATTTATGACTGTTAATTGGAGGAGGGAATTGTGCTTTGATACTATGTGCCCAGGGGAGGGGAATTCAGTTTTTGGCTTCGATTATGCAGTGCCGATATTATGCTACTCGAATAAAAGATCCTCTAAGGTAAACAATGCCTCAAAGTGCTTTTGAAGAGTTTCATCTGTTGGAACCATGACACTACGGACATTTGGAAGAACTGTTCTCACCACCCCCAGAAAGACCGGCATGAAATCTGACCATCTGGGGCAAATCTGGAGAAAACCCCAATTTTTTTCAGCTCCTTCAAAAAGAAAAGTCCAATTTGGATTTGAGTCGGCTTTACCGATTTTGCAGTTCAGCCAACATTTCCACACGCGGGGAGTTAAAGAAGGGGAACCCAAGTTACACAGCCGAGTGGCTGGGCTGGGGAAAAGAGTGTGTCCTTTTTTCTGTTTGCCCCCCCCCCCCCGAAGAAGAGGACCCAAATCAACTTTTTTTGACTTTTTTTGAAGAGGAAAAAGGAAGACCGACAACTGTAGAATATTAATCGCTAGTAAAGGACTTATATATATATAAAAAGGCCTGTTTGGTCATGGGGGTTTCTGTCCAGTCCACCCCATGAGCCAGTGGCCAAAAGTCTGAATTTGGATCACATGATCACGGGGATGCTTCGACGGTCGTTAAGTGTGGAAACGGATCATAAGTCGCTTTTTTTCAGTGCCTCATATTTATGTCCCGGGGTCAGGTTAATCCCCTTTTGCAATCTTCCCGACAAGGAGTGGGGAAGCCAGATTTCACTGAACAACAATTTAACAACTACGAGGATTCACTTAACAGCAACAGAAAAAGTCGTAAAATGAGGCAAATTCACTTAACAAATGTTTCACTTAGCAACATAAATTTCGGGCTGATATTACCTGTATTTTCCATATAGCACTACTTTTTTTTAGAATCCTAAACTGTTAGATTCACTCTCCCCCACATTCTAAGCAGTTGTTAGTTGAATTTAGTAAACTCTATTTCTAACTAGTCTGTAGCCAGATTTTTTTTACTAAGCGGTTTTACTATTTATTGTCATTTTGGTTTTTTTTGGGGGGGGGTGGTTATATTGTGAGACCCCAGAGTTGATTTGGAATCCAGTGGCATATAAGTCAAATCACATTGCAAGCATCAGTCTCTGTTTGTGAACAGAGAAAGGAGAGAGATCCCTAAATAAATACTTTTTAAAAAAAAAGTTTATCCTATACTCAATAAAACAACAATACCTTTTGTTATTTTTGTGACAATCGCAGAGTCACTGTGTATGAGAATGGCCAGAATGAGTGCTGGTTATAGATCAGTGAAAATAAAACGTTATCGGAGAAAGATAAATTTTAATACGCTACCATCCGGGCTCCATAAGTAACGCTTCGTTTTCATGTAGACTTGTGTGTGTGTGTTTGTTGTCCACTCTTCTGTTTTGCGTGGCTCTGATGTTCACGAATCCGGGCTTGTAATAATGGACTTGGAAACGCGGTGGTTTCAATTACTCTGAACAGGAATCTAAAATGGAAGGAGATATTCAAGAGAGCAGGAAGGGATGGGGTTAAATACACAGCTAGTCCGCTAGTTAACAACCACACAAGTGAGCCCAAAATTGATGCAGCTAAGCGAAACATTTGTTAAGTGAGTTTTGCCCCATTTTACGACTTTTCTTGCCACGGTGGTTAAGTGAACTCATCACTAAATCAATGCAAAAATTCCATGTTTTCACCCCTGCCAATTTCCCTGGGAAGAACTTTGAAAGTAACTTTGAAAGTATTAGGGTTTCCTGCCTGAGCAGGGGGTTGGACTGGATGACCTCCAAGGTCCCTTCCAACTTTTTAAAAAATTATTATTATTATTATTTCTTGCTCATCATGCTGGATGAGAGCTAGTGTGGGGAAAAGCAAGACGGATGGGTGGCAGATTTAGGTAAATTAAATCCATAAAGTACCTTGGAAGCAAAGCCAGAGTAACTGCGATCGTGAAGTCAAGATAAAACATCGGATTCATTAATTGCCTCTGAATAATCCAGTAGGGATTTGCTGGTGGGTTGCAGAGGACACAGAAAGCTCCCAGCAGCCCAAGAATGAAGAAATATAGGAAGATGCTACCCCCCAAAACTGAGAAATGGATAATAGTCTGAAACAAAAAAACGGAAGTACAGATTTCATTTCGATCAGATCTGCTTCCATTTCTAGAAGGATTCAGGCAGACTTCGGCTGGGGTTAACCCCAGGCCGCCTTGAGGATTTAAACTTAACATTCAAGATTCTTCACATTTTAGCCGTCAGATTAGTATTAGTAGCCAAAGGTGAATACATTTGGGTTTATTATTATGTACAAATGCAATTGATGAGGGGGCGAAAGGCACAAAATGATTCTGTGAACCGAATGTTAGAATGAATGTGTAATATACTTACCACATTTTTACTTTCAATCAGAAGATGTAGTAATATTATAAAGAACATGGTAGTATTCATACGATTTCCAAAAGAATAGATATCTACATCAGAATCTCGGAATGTCTGCAAAGGAATCATTATATAACCATCAAAAATATATCTCTATCTCTATCTCTCTATCTATCTCTCTATCTATCTCTCTATCTATCTATCTATCTATCTATCTATCTATCTATCTATCTATCTATCTATCTCTCTCTCTCTATCTATCTATCTCCATCTTTATATCTATCTATCATCTATCTATCTATCTATCTATCTATCTATCTATCTATCTATCTATCTATCTATCTGTATCTCTCTGTATCTCTCTATTTCTCTATCTCTCTATATCTATATATTATATAAAAATTACATACTGCTAACTGTGGTAATAAAGAAATACTAAACTAGTTGGTATCTTGATATAGAAATTCCTAATGATTGTTAACAATGATTATAGGTAGTGCTGTAAACTTTGATACCAATAAACATGTACAACGAGTATGCGCTATTTTTAAAAAAACAAAATTTAAAATATTAGAGATAGGAGCAAGTAGCCAATTTTGCGATACTTACGAAGTAGCAGATAAAAAAGCAAACCAGGCTTTGGTAAAAGGCATCCACCAAGTTCATTGCAAATGCTACACCCACGTATGGCTGAAAAGGAAATAAAGAAAAGAGGGTGGTCAGTTTTGCTCATTTGAATGATCAACTTTCCGCTAACTTTGCTTGTCTCTAAACCTGCTCTCCTAAACCCGCCTCCATCCATCGGTTAGAAACCTACCAAAGAACATTTTTTCAGCTCCACTTTTTTGGAAAATTTAAAAAGAAACGAGTTATAAAATGGTGGTTCAAGTGGCAAGGAACTAAGGATCAGTTGAGCCAAGCCCAAAATAAAATAAAATAAAATACCTCATCTTTCTGACTGGCTTTGTAAAGCTCCGGATGGTTCAGGAGAGTTTCTGCAGAGATATCTTTATCTAAAACCCCATATATGACGGGTGGTACCGATGTGAAGAGGAGATTGAAGAAAATCAGACTCCAATAATCAATCATGGGCGTTCCTGAAAACCCACAAAAGAACTGGTACCAGAACAGGAGATTGACGTATGCCTGCAAGGATTGGAAGAAGAAGAAAAAAAGGACAATGCATTGTGGGAAGCATCAGGGAGATGCTGGAAAGAAGTTTAATGGACTTCAGAGGGCGCTACAGAAATACAGCATTTGTCTTCTATAATTGTGGTTCTCTTTCTGCTCTGGAATCAGCATTGAGGGTGAAAGTGGGATCGGTGTTTGTTAATCTTTGGAGCTTAATCAACCTTAATGCTAGTGCAAAAACAACATCTGACAGCTGAACGTATTAACCCTGTTCCCCTTTTAAATGCATTCTTCCCGCCTCTCAAATCCAGGATACAGTTGGTAGCTAACATACCACGTTCTTGTAAAAGAAGTAGAGGATCATGTTAGCCAGTCGGGTGTAACACCAGTGGCCATGAACAAATAACAGCTTCCTGAGATGCTGGAATTGAGAAATTGCGAAGTCGCTGGCTAACACAGCCTGCAAACACATATAAGAGAAGTCACAGATTAATCAGATCAATTGTACTTACTGTACTTGTCTAATAGTCCTGGTCTTGTGTGCAATATACCATTCTATTATATAACAGGCTTCATCCACCAGGCAGAGATGAACCGTTTGAGCAAGGTCACCAAAAAGGCGTGCCTGGCTGAGGAATTCTGGGAGTTGAAGTCCACAAGTCATAAAAGGGCCACGTTTGAAGACCCCTGATGTGGGGTCATGGGTCATCCTACCTGCATGCCTTCTTGCCCGGAAATTCCAATTCCAATGTCCGCCACCTGAATCATGCTGACATCGTTGGCCCCGTCACCTTTGAACCAGAAAGGACAAGAGCCTTGAAATCAACGACCACTTTTGTACCCACTAGAAAATAGACTGAGCCCCCTCTTCTTTGGGGCAGCCCCTCAAATATTAAACACTATCCTAGAATAGAATAGAGCTGGAAGGGACCCTGGAGGTCTTCTAGTCCAGCCCCCTGCTCAAGCAGGAGAACCTATGCCGTCTCAGACAAGTGACTGTCTAACACCTCTTCTTAAAAATCTCCAGTGATGGAGTGCCCATGATTTCTGGAGGCAACTTCTGTTCCACTGGGTTAATTGTCCTCACTGTCAGGAAGTTTCTCCTTAATTCCAGGTTGCTTCTCTCCTTGATCAGTTTCCAACCATTGTTTCTCGTCCTTCCATCTGGTGCTTTGGTGAATAGCTTGACCCCTTCTGCTTTGTGGCAGCCCCTCACCCCTAGTCCTTCTTTTCATTAAACTAGAGGCCCTACCCTATCTAGACATTTTCATGGTGGAAAATGTTGAGATGGGTCTCACTGAAAGTTATTAAAATCCTTATGATGGGGATATAAATGTATCGGAGCTCTTTTGAAAACATTTAACTGTGGGTAGGGAAGAATTGCAATAATAGAAAAAGGAAGAAACAGTTTCAAATTTGAGTCAATTTTCTTCCACTGGGCAAGACACTAAGTATCAGAAACTCTATTATAACATTTTAGTAGAATCCCTAGAAAGCAAAGCAAAGCAAAACAAAACAAACCAATCCTGGATTTTTTTTCTTAAAGAAAAAAAAAGATGGAAAAAAAATAACAAATTCAAAATAAAACCAAGGGCTGCCTGGCAAGATTGTGACAGAGTGGAGAAGATGCAAACAAAAAAAACAGAAAAAGAGCTTTGAATTTTAGGTGGAGGGACGACCCACCAACCACAAGGGCAATCTGTTGCAAGAGAGGCAATCCCCATCACCCCCCCACACCAAGGCCGGCTTATGGGACCTGTAGTCCAAAGCATCTCCTATACCAGGGGTCTCCCAACTTGGCCCTTTGATGACCGGTGGACTTCAACTCCCAGAATTCCTCAGCCAGGCACACATGCATATAACCATAATTTTATTTTTATTATTATTTGTTGTATGCATTACATTTTCAGATTTTTTATTTTATTTTTTGTAAAAACAGCGAGCCTTTTAAGCGGGGGGGGGGGGGAAATGCCCAACCCGGGCCAAAAAAAAAAAAAAAAGCTCTGTTGCAAGAAGGGAGCATCCTGATCGCCTTCACCTGTGCGGCCGAGGCCCACCTGGCCGTGATGAGCCGCCTCGCGCGCCGCGGCCGTCTCCATGGCAACCGCTGCGCGAGCCCGGGAAGCAGCCGAGCGATCGCACCTGTGTTTTGAGCGCGCGCCTTTCCCGCCCAGCGCCCTCGGACCGCCTCGCGGGCTCTTTTCTGCACGCCCATCTCGCCCTTTCATTGGCTGCTCCGAAAACGCGTCCCCTCGGATTGGCTGAGCGGCCTGTCTCCTCTCCGAGAGGCGGGGACTTTTAAAAACTCGGCGGTCTCCTCAGACTGAGTGCAAAAGGCGAAGCGGGCAGCAGACGCCGCTCCCGCGTCTCTCGTTCCCCGCAAGGGACGACGGCTGCGGGGCTCCGGGGGGCTAAAAAGCCTCTCCCTCCGGCGCCCCCGCGGCCCAAGCCCTCGAGCTCGAGGCCGGGCAGGGCCTTTTGAGCTCTGAGGTAATTCTAGCGGAGGCTTTTCTACGTTGTAAGACGCCCGAGGGGAGCCTGAGGGGAGCGCGAGCTCTTGAGCTAATTAATAGCACCTGTGGTGATTTTAAGCGCGGCGCGTGTTCTTTGGAGTAAAACGCCGGGGGTGTCTGAGGTAATATCTCAACGGCGTTTTATTCACACGACGCCAAATACCACAGGTCGCTAAAGATACTTATCTCAAGTCTTCGCAAATTGCTGGGTCTTGAAATAATTCTAGTCAAAGCTCAAGTTCTTAAAATTTTGGTGGAGCCTCAGCCATGTCCTTTTAAAAAGGACCAAACCCCCACAGGTGAATGAAGAGTTAAAATTAGCTTTGAAGATAAAATTGCCTCAGGAGCAGACCTTCCTCTCAGGAATAAAGTGAATTCCTTAGGGAATTTTAGCCAGGACTTCAAGTTCTTAGAATAAAATTTTGGTGAAACCTGAAGTAATCTCAGCCATGTCCTTGCAGTAAGCTGAGGCAATTTTAGGCAGGTGTAGTTCAAAGGGCTAAACTGCCACAGGTGAACAAGCTTTAAAATGAGCTTAAAGGCAAAATGGCTTCAGTCCCTGGAGTTGCCCTTTCTTGAATAAAGTCAGCTCTTGGGACCTGAGGAAGCTTTAGTCAAGGCAGAAATCCTTAAAAGAAGCAGAACATGTAGAAGGACTAGTGGCTTCAAGTAAGTAAAGGCAAAAGTTAACTAACATTACTTCAGGTCCTGGAGTTGACCTTACTTTCTTGAAATAAAGTCAGCTCTTGAAGAATTCTTCAGGTAATTTTAGCCAAGGTGCACATTTTAAAATATTGGTGGAATCTTCCTTTTAGAAGGACCAAACCACCATTGGCAAGTCAGAATTAAAAATAGTTTTAAAGGTAAAGATAAAATTACTCAGGAGCTGACCTTGCTCTCAGGAATAAAGTGATTTCTTGGGACCCGAGTTAACTTTAGTGGGCTTAAAAGAAGCAAAATATGTAGAGGACTAGCTACTTCAAGTAATTAAATAAAAAAGTTAACTAAAATTACTTCAGGTCAGGGAACTGGACTTATTTTCTTGAAATAAAGTCAATTCTGGAGGCCTGAAGTAATTTTAGCCAAGGCTCAGGTTCTTAGAATAAAATACTGGTGGAACCTGAGATAATCTCAGCCTGGACAGCCATTTGTCTGAAATGGTATAGGGTTTCCTGCCTGAGCAGGGGGTTGGACTAGATGACCTCCAAGGTCCCTTCCAACTTTATTATTATTATGTCCTTTTAAAAGGGACCCAAACCACCACAGGGAATAAGAGTTAAAATTAGCTTGGGGGTAAAGTCTGAAAAAATCTTTGCCATGTCCTTGCAGGCTAAAAAAGTACTTCAAGTAAGTAGAGGTGAAAGTTAACTAAAATTACTTCAGGCCCAGGCCCTGGCTTAACTCTCAGGAAATTGCTTCAGTACCTGGAGTTGCCCTTATTTTCTCCCAAGTCAACTCTTGGGACCTGAGGAAATTTTAGTCAAGGCTCAAGTCCTTAAATGAAGCAAAACATGTAAAAAAAAACGACTAGTTGCATGGTCTGAGGAATTCTCAAGGGGACAATGTTCCAATTCATTGTATATTGTCTTCTTTCACTCATAGGATAAAACACAAAAATCCCCTTTTGATTGATTGATTGCTTTTCTAGTCTCTAAACATAAGCTGGTCATTTGGTGATGTTGATTTTTTGTTTATTTCAAAGGCATGAATCCATATAGACGAAGAAGAAGACATCAACAGTAAGACAGATGGTTTAATTCACTCTCCAGTATATCATGAAAGTGTGGAAGCCTAGCAGATACTGTTTGCAACATGTTTATTCCTGCAAAAATTGTTTACAAAGTATCAATGGTAAAAAAAAAAATTCTGAGCTGTCACAATTTTAGCTATTGGCTGCGGTTCTTAGAATTAGACAGGGTCCTGGGAGCATCCCACATACCAACACACATGGCGATGGTGGTGATGCCCCCCCTGGTGGAGGTCTTTCGGTCCCTGAGCTCCCACTCTGCGACACTCACACTGAATGAGCCGGGGAAGCAAACTGCTACCTGTCTCATTGAATCCCTGAGCAAACACTGTGGGGGACTCACACTGGAAGTCCTCTCTGGGGTGGGGCTGGGTGACCCTTTCAGTCCCTGAGTACGCACTGAGGGGGAAATCACACTGGAAGACTGAACAGCGTCCACTCCTCCAGTGCCTGAGGACCCCCTCAGTGAGACTCAAACTGGAAGGCAATCCTCTGGAATCGCCTCACACTAGAAATAAGGCGTCCTGGGTGCTCTCTGAGCTTGGTGGTTTTCTTGTAGACGTTTCATTACCAAACTAGGGAACATCATCAGTGCTAGTAGAAGGGAGTGTGGTTTGCTGTCAGTTTATGTTTGCGTGGCTTCTTTTAGTGTTGTTGAAAATGGTCTTGGAGGTCCTTTGTTGCGCTATTTATTGTTAGCTTCTTTGACCGTTCCTTAATTGCGGTATTGTTTTGTTGTCAGGGTGATGGTTTTTAGAACCCGAAATAAAACCTCAACGGCCCTTTTTAATATTAGCTGTGGCCGTTGATCTATAAAAGAGGCTAGGGTTTTCTAACTTTGCAGACTGAGCGGAGGAAGAATTGCACAACTGCTGCCAAAAGTTCCTCGAAAGAGACAACGCTTGCTGGGCACGACTGAGGAAGAAACAAAAGCAGAAGAAGAAAGAAGAAAGAAGAGAGCATGAAAATGTCTCCAGCTCAAGCCCTGTTGGCCTCCGGCTGTGATGTGGCCTCCTACGCTGTGAGGTAAGTTTAGCCGAGTCTTGTATTCTTCAAAGTTTTAGAATATGGGGGAGGTGGATGACTTGGTGGTCATTCCTAGGTAGGTACCACCTGCAAATGGGGTAATAGTAAGCAGTGTATACTGTGCATTCTTAGGAGTAAAACTCCAATGGCAGCTGAAGTAATGTTTGGGGTTTTTTTTATCTCAAAGGCCTGTTCTCTGCACCACCTTAGAAGACAGAAGACTCAGTCGTCAGCCTGCAGAATCAATGGAAGAAGGAGGAATGGAACTCAAGAACGATGGTTATTAGAACCAAAAAACCCTCCTCAATGGCTCTTTTAATGCTAGGCGTGGCTGTTGATGGATTATAGATTTTATAGTTTTCTGCCTGGTGTAAATTTAGCCATGGCAATGGTTCTTAGAACCAAAAACAAAACCTCATTGGCCGTTTTAAATGATCAGTGTGGCCAGTGCTTGGTAACAGATTTTATAGCTTTCTGCCTGGCATAAACTTAGCCCTGGCGATGG